TTTAGTGTTTTCAGACTACTTTAAGCAATAAGCTGCAGCATCACAAGGATACAGCAATACTTTCATCTGTTATTTTTAACATTTATCTTTATTAAGAATCATGTATAATGTAGAGAGCTGCACTTTTGCCAGGCCTACATTTTAGAAGACAAATGTAATTGAAATATCTTTCCTGTTATGGTTTCCTTTATTGCATTTTAGAGGATTATGTAGGCAATTAACTATATATCAGTTTTGCCAATGTAGTTATTCCCTCCTTATAAACATTTTGTGTATAATTACAGAAACATGTGGTTTTCAAGTCTACCAGAAAGTCATTTTAATATAATTTCTCATCAATATACTGGTAGTTGCAGGGAAAAGAGGACTTATTCCCAGAAGACTTTGTTTTCTTGGTTTGAGAGGAATAAGGCAGTGTGCAGACAGTTGTTTTTTTTTCAATGCCTCCTGTAAAAGAGGAGAAGGCATAGGGGAAGGATTTTAGTTTTGGCTCATTTCTCTTCAAGGATGGAGAAATGCTTTATTCATTTATTTTTAAAAAATAATTTATATTATTTTAGAGCAGCGTTTCTCAACTTTGGCAACTGTAAGATGTGTGGACTCAGTGCTGAAGTCCACACATCTTAAAGTTGCCAAGGCTGAGAAAAACTGATGAAAATGATAAACGATATATCATTTTACAGAATTGTAAAGGAATGGTGAAAGAATATAGTGGATAAAATTTTGGAGTAAGGTCAAATCTCAAATCTTTGCACAGCTAGGAGCAAAGAAAGTCTCGTCTGCAATAAGACAGGCATAAGCATAAAATAAATGAACAAAATAAATGAGCAGTGCTGGAAAATTTCAGGGCAAAGCCTAGGGCTGTAGAATGTAAAGCTGGACTCCCAAACGTTACAGGGCTAGCCTACCATATTTTGAAGTAAATAATACATACTAACATTGTATAAAAGGAGCTGACCGTTACTGGATTGTAAAATCAATAATGTAAGTATATTATTTGATATTCATAGCCAGAATTACATGCTGTTCTAAGGTTCGTGGAGAAAAGATAAGATACAATGGAATAAATTCATTTAAAAATTAATAAAGTTCAATTAATAGTCTGTAAGTGATTTCCACTTTTGGTGGGACTAGAAATCATGGTCTTCTGGTTTCTAGCCTGGTGCCTTAATCGCTACACCAAACTGGCTCTTCCATATAACTTACATGAAATATAAAGTATTTTTATTCACCTACATAATCTAATCTATATGAGCTAAAAGTGTTGAGAATGAGGGGGGAAAGCTAAGGATAAGTTAAGGACTGAAATAGCAATCAATTAAATAAAACTTGATTTCACTTAATCACAAACTTGGCTGAAAAAACTTATTTGGTATCATCAATCTCAATTTTGAAGGCTTTTGATGAAACAGTAAGTAACAGGACTAAACAAGCATTTTTGTAAATATTTCAGACAGACAGACAGACAGACAGACAGACTGGTAGATAGATGAGAAGAGAGGGGGGGGGAAGGGAGGGAGGGAGGGAGGGAGGGAGGGAGGGAGAGAGAGAGAGAGAGAGAGAGAGAGAGAGAGAGAGAGAGAGTGTCGTACAGTTAATGGCTTTTCTAATTGCTTAATGTTGCAGAAGACTGGACTCCATTAGATGCACCAGTTGTTAGGAAAGCTTAATAAATGCACATAAAATGAAGGCTGATGATTGCAGTATTTCCACTTCCTCCCATTGTTCATTCAATTCTTATCATATAGTTTTCTTTCCACAGACAGCTTGGAAAAAGAGGCATACTAAAAATAAAAAGGTGTTTGACAGCACATGTTTGAATGAGTCATACAACCAAATGTTTACGGAAGATAATGAAATTAAACTAAACAATAGAAAATATTTTGTGGCATTTATCCTACCTTGGCAAGGGATAATCTACAATTAGGGCAGTAGGACATTGTTATCAGTAACTTAATTTCTGTGATTTGCAGAACTGCAAATGATTCTCCACAACCTTATTCAATAAATATTAACACAAAAACGAGGGGCAGTTGTTTATTTTTTAATCTCTGACAAAGTCATTATCATAGTTAGTCTCTGTTGGGAGAACCCCATTGTGCAAAGGCACAAAATATTACTTCATGTTGCAAAAGGTTTTCTTTTTTTCCCTTGCAATAACTTTTGCCCTAAACTCTGAAAATTGCTGCCAGGTGGCATAAACAATACCAAGCTAGACATACCACTGGATATCCTCTCTCAGTATAAACAGATCTGTAAGGAAAAATCAAAGGCATGAATATATGCTGGGGGGGGGCAGGGGGAACCATATTGGGCAGCAGTACACCAAAAGCTGCAAAAAAAAAGCAACTCAGTCTTAGGTTGTACTAACAGAAGTGTTATGTCAAGATGAAGAGAAGCCAACCCTTCCATTATATACATCTACATACTATTTTACTTGTTGGTTTCTTTCAAGTTATTATTACTCCAGATATGTGTATGTTAAATAGGTTCTACATGCTATGTAAATTGAGAGCAACACTATGTATTGCATTCACTATTATGAAAACTGAGTTCAATGGAAATAAGTAAGTTGCATTTTCAACTACTGTTTTAAATGTTAATCCTATATGCTGAAAAAAGATAGCTATTTGAGTTTATAGTTTATTACTACAAGTGCTATATACACAAAAATGTGAAATCACAGCTGCCAGTTCTTTACCTGGTATTGGCCTTCATATTCATCAAGTTTTTCCCAAGAATCTAGAATGTCATAATGTATTGACATAGTATGTGTGGATCCAAGCAAAAAGTGGCCCTCGAGATTGTATAATATTGTATTATAT